GACCCAGAGCCCGTGGCCTGACTTTGCCTAATGCCAGCCCGGTGGGGTCCTGGCTGGTTGGAGGTCCGTGCAGCAGGGTGAAGAGCTAGGCTAATGGTGGGAGAGTTGAGCTGTTGCAGGCTGTCGGGTTTGGGGACCTGCCACTCAAAGCCAGCTGTGGGTCCGTCTGGTTCCTAGCAGCCAGGTCTCCGCAGCACATCTGCACCAGGGCTTGGAATTGAAGCGACACAGACACAGCTGCCTCAGGCTGGGTGCAGAGAGGGGTGAATAGGCAGCTCCCCACTGCCAGGCCCTGTGCCTTCGCCAGGAGGCTGCTGGTGTCGCTCACTCTGCTGTCAGCAGGGCACAAGACATCGGGGGCTCCCCTGACCCTGTGCCCCTCCCCAGCTCTCCATGCTCTTCACGGAGGAGTGTGACAAGGTGCGGGACCTCATGCACGTGCACTCGTTCAGCTACGACTTCCACCTGCGCATCGTGCACCAGTACCTGCTGGGCTCCCACATGACCCTGCGGCAGGGCTACCACCTCACCAGCTTCCTGGAGGACTTCATCGCCCACCACCCCGACATCCCCAAGTTCGGCCGCAACCACGTCTTCCAAGGTGAGCTGGGGAGGGGCGATGCCCGTGGCCCTGTGAGCCCCGGTGCTCCTGGCTGAATCCATCCCCCCCCATGCAGGAGCACAGGCCCTGGCCCTTCCCCCGGGGGTGGGGCCGCTCCCCAGCTGGAGACGCCGTTCCCAAATTCAGTGCATCATCTGGCCCCATCCGTTCCTTGGCCAATCCGGATGGATCCGCTCTGTAGCTCTACATGGGGCACGCTGTGCCACTGCCCCCGGCCTGCACGGTTCCAGGGCGTGGCTGTCAGGGACTGAGTGACCCCAGCCAGGCTGCGTTCAGCAGGGGCTGTGCAGAGAGCCCTGCCCGGGGGCTGCGGGGCAGGCGACGTTGCCTCATGAGTGCGCTCTCGGGGCTGGGAAGCAGATACTTGCTGTCCTGGTGTCCGGCTCTGGGGGCCCTACACCCAGGCAAACACTGACTCCTCCTCTGCTAGGCACGCTGGCCATGCCCACCAACATGATAACAGCCCACCAGCTCTACAACTACGTGGCAGACCATGCCAACACCTACCACATGAAGCCCCTGCGCATGGCCCGGCTGGCTGCGGGCAGCGACGGCAGGAAGGGGACCCCGGGCATGGAGCAGAACGAATACGCGCTGGTCTCCATCTGGAACAGGTGAGCGCCTGGCACTGCCCCAATGGCTCCGGGAACCCTGAGTGCCCGTCCCACTCAGGGCATTGCCTGGCCAAGGCCAAGCAGGACTGGGGCTGGGAGATGCACTCACACCAGCTGCTGGCCTTGTGCTCTGGATGGTGGGTGGGTGCTGCAGCTGGTTCTCCTCACCCTCCCCGGACACCTCCTGCGAGGCCCTGCTGCCCAGCTGTGGTTGGGGGTGGCACCGCCTCGGCTCCCAACGCTCTGCTTATGCCTGCAGCTCAGGCTCCTACAAGGACTCGGAGGGGATGCGGCACCATGATGACTTCGACGTGTCCCTGCTGGTGTGTCACAGCGCGGCGCCGTTCGAGGAGCAGAGCGAGGCGGAGAGGCACGTGCTCCGGTGAGAACCAGGGCCTTCAGTCAGGGCTGGTGGAGAGGCCCAGGGGGGCTTGGGCAGGGGAATGGTTGGGGGGTGGTGCACGGGCCAGGGCCACTTGCATGGCTCAGTTCCTGGGGGCACGAACAGGGTGGCTGTGCCAGTGGAGTCCCAAGGTAGCGTTGGCTGGCGGGGGGTGAGGGCCTGGGTCGGGTGGGCACTGGGTGGCACGTCTGCCTGAGGAAGGAGTGTTTCAGGAGGCCCTGGAGGCACAGAGCCTGGCTGGCAGGGGCGCCCCCTCCTCACAGGCGTCTCCTCTTCAGGCTGCGTTTCTACGTCATCATGACGAGCCAACGGGAGCTGTTCCCCCGGCTGACAGCCGACATGCGGCGCTTCAAGAAGCAGCCACGCTTACAGCGGGAGAACATGCTGGAGCCAGTGGTGGGCCGGGCGGCGTGGGAGGCGCCGGAGCCGGGTCAGGGCTGGCAGCAGCAGGCGGAGCGGGAGCTGTGGCAGGAGGGAGAGGACAGCAGCGAATTCTATGCGGGCGGTGCCCAGGTCAAGCTGGGCCCTGGGCTGTTCTACACGTCGCCGCTCTTCCCCCTGCTGGCCTCCGAGGTGGCCGTGGCCCAGAAACAGCTGAGCAGCATGGTGCACCTGGCCAAGTGCCACTGCCGCAGGGACAACCTCTGGAAACGCCTCTTCCTGCTGGAGCCGCTGGCCTCGGACAAACTCAAGCTGGGCAAGCTGTCGCTGGGGGAGCTGGAGGAGCTGCTGAACGCAGTGCACGGGAAATCCATCGCTGACATCGACCCCCAGCTGGTGAGGGGCAGGGGGCGCGCACACGCGCGCGCACACACACACAGGAAATACGCATGTGTGTATGCACGTCCCCAGGGCCCATCATCCCCAGCTGGTGCGGGGAAGCACATGCACACGCTGGGGACAGGCTGAGTCCCAGCTGGTGAGGGGTGGGAGTGGAGATGCGCATGGCGTGTGGGAATCATCGGGAACATTGTCCCCCCCGCTGGTGAGGGGCTGAGATGGGCACTGCTGGGGATGTAGCATGTAGGAAATCCCAGCTAGCTGTGGGGCATGATCCGGGGGCCAGCAGGGACTTGGGTTTGAGCGCACATCTCGTGAGTTTTGGCGCCAGGGGGCCGGCAGGAATTGGGTTTGAGCGCACATCTCGTGAGTTTTGGAGCTCCTGGGCTGTGTTGCTCCTCTGGCCTGGTGGCCTCTCGCTGCTGTTCAGGGGGCCTGGCCTCACCCTCTCTCTGTCCTCGCAGGGCTGCTTCCTCACCATGACTGTACCCTGGTACCAGAGCCTCATCAAAGTGCTGCTGAGCCGCTTCCCGCAGAGCTGCCGCCACTTCCACAACGTCGAAACTGGCACCCAGTATCTGGTAAGGGCCAGGGCCCCGCAAACCAGCCTCTGCAGCCGGCCCCACCACTCCTGCCCACGCCCCTGCAGCTGGCCCTGCTGCCAGACTCCCTGGTCCTGCGCCGGCCCCTGCCCCTGAACATGCTGACCCCGATCCTATGGCCAGACCCACCTCCTGCCTTGGGACACTTTTTTCTGCCCCCTCCCCTGTAGCCAGAGGTGGCTCCCCTGCCCCAGGAGTCTCTTCTGTCCCACCCATGTCAGCCCCCCTGGCCAGACGTGCCGCTGGAGGTGATGCCTCTGTGCCCACTTTAGTGAGGCTACCCTGAGGTGTGATGTCACGAGGGCACAGCCGTAGTCGCATTGCCTGACTGCACCGTGCACTGACCCCCACCCCACGGCGCTGTCACTGCGCCCCCTGGCACGCCCCACAGTTCTGGCACTGTGCCCCCGTGGGATGCTGGGGAGCCTGCCCCCCATGGTTCTGGCACTGTGCCCCCCAGCCGTTGTCATTGCACCCCCTGACGGCCTGTCGTGCTCTCTGCAGGTCGTGCTCAATCAGAAGTTCACAGACTGTTTTGTTCTTGTGTTTCTGGATTCCCACTCAGGGAAGACGGTAAGAGCTGCTCCCCGCGGGGGCCTGGGTGGGTACCTGGCTCTGCAGGTGTGTCCGGCCCAGGGGCAGCGGAGGGAGTGCGCTTCCAGTGCCCAGGCAAAGCCCGGAGGGTTTCAGCATTTGCCATCAGGCTGGGCTCTGCCCAGAACTGTCAGAGCTAAAACTCCACCAGCCCTCTCCTGCTGTCCCCTCCCCGAAGAGCAGGGGTCAGCTCCCGAATGGGGGGCCGGGCGGGGGTGAATGGGGGGCAGCAGGGGCCATGTCTAACACACGAAGCACGCTACGGAAAGTCCAGGAGCCCTGACTTGCTGCATTTCAATGAGGCAGCAGCCTGGAGCCCCGGTATCCAAGGGCCTGCTGGTGCCCTGCCCCCCAACTGGGGGTCTCATCCCATCCAGGAGCCTGTGCTGTCCAGTCCTCCCCCCCCCCAAACTGTGTCTGTCTCTCTGGGAGCCGGTGTCATCCATTCCCTCCCTCCCCTCTCCCCCGTGCGGGTGGGTGCAGGCATCCTTGCCAAGAGCAGGTACAGGCACTGAGCTGGCCCCAAGCCGGGCAGGGGCTGGAGGCCGGGGGGAGGTGGCTCTGCTGTGAGCAGCTCGTTTCTCTCTGCAGAGCCTGACGGTGGTTTTCCGGGAGCCGTTCCCCGTGCAGCCCCAGAACAGCGAGAGCCCCCTGCCGCAGCTAGTGTCCACCTACCATCACCTGGAATCTGTCATCAACACGGCCTGCTTCAACCTCTGGACGGGGCTGCTCTAGCCGGCGCCAGCACCTTCCAGCCAGACACACCGCGCCGCACCACATCTGCACCCAGGAGCTGACCTCCAGCAGGATCCCCCCAGCGCTGCTGGCAGCACGGGGGTCACGTGATGCACGAGTAATGGACAGAGTGGAGGGTGCACGGGGCTTGGCAGCTCCCCTGGACTCCAGCTAGCCCAGACTCCCAGAAGGGGTGAGCCGGGGGGGGGTGTCCCCCCTTCTCGGGTAGGGGAGCTGCTGTTAAGGACGCTCACGTGTATTTGACACTGAATGGATTTGAAACGGAGACCCGAGGAGGGTCCCGGCGGCCCTGGCACCAGGAACTTGGCGCACCTGCCACAGCTAAACAGCTGCCATCTCTGGGCCCAGAAACCTGGCACCCATGTATGCCCAGCCCTGGGCCTGGTGACGGAGCTGCCTGGCATGCCGGGCCGGAGCCAGGCACAGTCCTGAGGGCACCGAGCACGGCTGCTGCGGGCCGTCACTTCGATGGGTGGAAGCAGGGTGGGATTTCAGTGGTGGGCCAGCCGCGGGGCGGCAGGGGGGTTATGAGAATGTACTGAAGGACGTCACTGTCAAATAAACTGCCTCAGACCATCCCGCTGCTGCCTGGCTCTCAGCTTGGCGCTGCAGGGGGCTCCCAGCCTTGCCCATGGCCTTCCCAAGGAGCTGGGCAGAGCCTGGCTGGCCCAGTGTCCTCATGGCCCCCTACCCTCTCCCCCCAGCACACTGGGGAGGCAAAGCTAAGCCCCCCCAGGGCAGCATCGTCCTTCTGGCCCCCAGGCCTGGCTGCTGAGCGCAGGGAGGAGTCGGGAACAGCGGGGTGAAGTGGTGGTGGGGCTGCGTGGGGGTAGCTCACCGGCTGAGCAGGGCTGGGGGGAGGGCAGAGCACATCCTGAAGGACTCCGGGGCCCTTGGCTGTCACTAAACCGTCCTTCCACCCACTTGGCTCTGGGCGTTCTGCAGGGTTGGCTTCCCTTTGCCCCACCAGCCTTTGAGCCCGTTGATTCAATGGCGGGGGGGGAGGGGAGGTGTCTCCTGGGTGCCATCCAGGGAGCACCCGCTCCCTGCCCCTTCTCTGCACCACGGTGCTCAGCAGGGAAAGTGAACAGTGCTGACTTCACACTGCAGCTGTTTGGAGTCCCCTGCCCGAGGGCTGAGGCAGGCTCCAGGCGGGCATCACTGGCCCAGTTACTGCTGTAGCCACACTCAGAAGGGCTGGTGGCTTGTCTTGGGTAGTAGCTCAGTGTGGCAATGGGCCTGCAGCCCCGCCCTCTCACAGGGTCGGCTGGTGCAGGAGCCATAGCCTTAGCCACCCCTCTGCAAGCCGGATCCTGCCTGGTGCTGGTTCCCCGCTCCTTGCCATCACCTCCAACCCCCAGCAGGGCCCAAGGGCCCAGAGCGTTACCACGTGGAGATGAAATGCTCCCAGCCTGACCCGGGCAGGCTCTGCCAAGTAACTGCCCTTGCCCAGAGCTGCAAGGAGGCAGTTTTGGGGCCTCTCCAGGGAAGAGCAGAGTCCTGGAACCAGACCTGCCCCCACTGTAGCCGCCTACCCCTGCTCTGTGTGTGGCAGGGCACTCCTCCGGCTGCAGGCAGCCCTGATCTTCTGTCCCAGCAGTTGTGTGTGCTGCTTGCTCTGCACCGGCCTGGCTGCTGGGGATGGCACACGGGAGAGTCAAGGCAGCCTCCTGCGTAAGCGGGCAGTGTGAAGGGAGGGGCACTGGGGTGTGAACCCCCAAACAGACAGGGGAGCCAGTGCACAGGACAGCTGCTTCCTCCGCGTCGCTGCCACTGAGTGCTCTCTCTCCCAGTTGCTACGGCCTCCACCTCTCAGCTCCCCGCATTTTGTGGGCACAGCCGGCGCTGGGCAGAAGCAGACTAAGCAATTGCTTGGGGCCCTGAGTGGCTGGAAGGCCCCTATTGGCTTTTTATTAAAGACCTTGTCTGTTTTAGTAAGGGGAGGGTTACAAATATTCCTGCGTAGGGCCCCCGCTGGGCTAGCACCGGCGCTGCTGCCGGCCTCGGCTCTCCCAGTACGCGTGCAACCAGCCCAGTCCTTCCAGCGTGTCTCCTGCAACAAGAGCCAGATCCGGGCGTGAGCAGCTTCCCCTGCATTGGAGCAGCCAGCACAGACCGTCCCCCGGGGCAGGGCAGGTACCCCCGAGGGAGCAGCAGCTACAGGCCAGCTCCCACCAGGTGAGTCCTGCGACCCTCCCTCCCCCCTGGGAGCGCCACTCCAGCACCCTCCTCCCAGCCCGGCAGCGCCTGCCCCCGGCAGAGACACCTCTCCCAGGCCCTGGCTCCATCCACCACCCCCTTCCCTGCCCTCTGGGGTGGACTCGCTGGGCAGGGCCTGGCTCCACTCCAGTGTGTGCCAGGCCCCCCTCTCCCGCCCAGGCTGCTGGGGTCCCTGCGCTCCAGCCCCGCTCACCTTGCGGGGTGTATTCGCAGCCCACGTAACCCTCGTAGCCGAGCGACTCCAGCAGCTGGAAGAGATAGGGGAAGTTCACCTCGCCTGGGCTGTCAGGTTCGTGCCGACCGGGCACCTGCCCGACCTGGATGTGACCTGGGGGTGGAACCAGCATCTCCTCAGGGTGGCTGGGGCATCGCTGTAGTGTGCACGGCCCCGGGCTCCAATCCACGGGGGGGCACAGCCCCTAACCCAAGAGTCCTGCCCCCACACCCATGGTACGAGGCAGCCTCTCCCTCACAGGGGCCAGGCCCTCACCCCCTTCCCCCAGTCCTGTCCATGAAGGGCTCTGCCTTGACTCAAACCTCCCACCCCATAGTCTGGGCCCAGTGCCTTCCCCACCATGCTTGGAGCAGAGCCCCGGCCCTCACCAATGAGCGGGAAGTATGTCTTCAGGTTCTGTGTCAGGTTCCCATCCATGATCTGGCAGTGGAAAATGTCCTGCAGGAACAAGAGCTGCAATTCAGGGTCTGGGGCAAGAGCCAAGGCTGCAGCTGCAGGGAATGACTGCGCCTCTGGGCACGCCCAGCGGGATCGCCGGGGCTCTGGGCACGCCCAGCGGGATCGCCGGGGCTCCAGGCTGGCAGCGGAGACCTAGTGCCTGGGATGTGTCTGAGCCCCTCTGCCCTGTCCCTCGCTGCACACAGCACAACGCTCCCTGGGGCCCACGCCGCCTCTTGCAGGGACTGGTGGGGGCACGGCCGGCATGGACCAGAGGGTAGCTCAGCCCCACCTGGGGGATGGCACCATCACTGACCCACGGCCAGCCAAGTCAGCAGGCTCCTCTAAACTGCTTGGGCCGGGTTTACCCACCTGCTGCACCCCATGGCTGGCACCCACCTCTGGCTTCCCCTGGCAGCAGGGGCTGGGAACTTACTTTCCTGTAAAGGAAACGGGGCTGGGCACTACAGAAACCACCAAGCCGCAGCTACTCACCAGCTGCAGGCGGAGGTTGGGCCTCCCCACCTTCTCCAGAATGGCTGCAGCTGTAGGGGGAAAAGGCAGGTTACTCACAGCAGGGGCCCCACAGCGCAAGCACCCAGCTCCCCTCGGCTCGGGCCGGGGCAGTCAGTGTGTGGCAGGGCCCCCTTACCTTGGTGAGGGGTGGTCAGGAAGTAGCGGGGGTCGGTGATGCGGCTGTTCATAGGCTCCAGCAGCCCCGTCATGTCCTCCTGCAAAGCCACATGTGAGCCCCTGGCACTTGTCCCCTGGCGGGCAGGGCGGCCATGGCTCCCTCACCTCCCTCCCCAGCCACCCCTTCTCCTCCAGCTGGTGTTGGTGTCTCGCACAGGGGCTGCTCCTCAGCCAGAGGCCGAGTCAGCGCGGGGACTGTGTGGCCCTATGCCCCCGGGGGGGTCTCCTCTGCCTGTCCCTCTCATGGTGCAGGAAAGTCCGGGGGGGGGACACAGCTGACTCCTAGTCCCCTCGTACCTGGGCCAGGATGTCAGCAGCATATCTGAGGTTCTCAACAAAGGTGGTTTCCATCTCCAGAGCCATCGCTGCCCGCTCGGTGCCCACAGGGACCCGCCCGGCCATGAGATGGATCCTGCAGACAGACCCGGGTCAGAGCCCACAGGCAGGAGCGGAGCTGCTCACGGCATAGACGCCTGACCGCGCGTGGGGCAGGAGCAGAGACGGAGGATGCAGCAAACTGCTCCAGGTGCCCAGTGCAGGAGGGGTGAAGGGAACAGCAGCTGCAGCACCACCAGGGCACAGGCTCTAAGGCACTCGCCCTCCTGCCGTGGCTGGGGCCACCCCATATGGGGGGGAGGTGGGGGGGGCCACTCCCTCTGAGGGGGGATCCGGGGGCCCTCAGCAGCATTGCCTCAGGTTGGGCAGGAGGAGGTGGGCTTTGATCCCCCCCCCCTCTGGCATGGGGCCTACAGGCCAGCACTCAGCCTTGGGAGGGGTCTCTACCCCTCAGCATGCCCCCCACATGCCAGCACTCCCCAGCCCTTGGCGGGGGGCGCCTGCAGCCACAGGTGCCTTCCAACCAGAGGCCATCTCTGGGGCAGGGGGATGGCGTGTGGAATCGAAAGGCTAGAGAACCTCAAAGCTCACCAGCACAAGGACACTGCACTCAGCTCTCCCTCTCCATGTCCAGGGGGACGGGGATGCCACCGATCCCAGTCACTACACGCCACCCACCCGGGCTACCACACAGCACAATCCTCTGTGGCTGCTCATGCTTTCACCTACAGGCTGAGCGGGGGAGAGGATTTCTGCTGGGATCCCGGCTGAGCTGGAGTTCGTGTGCAGCCAGGGGTGCCCCTTGGTGCTTTACACAGCGGCAGCCACGTACCCCTAGCCAAGACCCTCCTGCTGCCAAGGGGTACATGGCTGTGGGTGTGCGAATCACCCAGGGGCCCTTGTGGGAGGGGAACACGGTCAGGCCCCTGTGAGCACGAGTCACTGGAATGCCAGGATCTATAAGGGGCTGGCAGAGCAAATGCTGGGGAAGGACATGGCCCAGGGCTGCCACACCCCCAATGGAGCTGCAATCACGCAGGGCCAAGAACAGGAGCTCCAGAAATGCCCTTTCTAGAAGCTGCTGGAACAGACTTGGGGGGATGGAGACCACCACTGAACCCCAGCACAGGGATTTCCCCAGGACAGCCCCACTGCTTTGGCCCACCCAGCCCAGAGAACCAGGTGCTGGAGATGACAGCCAAGCCCCAGGGGCAAGAGCTGCAGTGTGGTGCTCTCCCATGGTGCTGTATTGTAATACAGCAACAAAGAGGGATTTGAACAACTTTCCTGCATAGCCATGGCCCCCGCCCCCTCTCCTCCTGTTTCCCCAGCCCTCGCTGTGGGGGCCTGTCTGAGTTCTCGGGGCAGCTGATCAGCCCAGGCCTAGGACGAGATGGGCACGGCTGTTTGCAGCACTCCTGTAAGAGACTCGTCCAGTGCAAGGCCAGAAGGGCCCATTGTGATGGTCTGACCCCTGCACAGCGTAGGCTGGAGACCTGCCCCCAGTCGCTCCTAGGGCAGAGCTCAGAAACCATCCAGCCTTGAGTTACCAAGTGCCAGTGGTGGAGACTCTGCCATGAACCTCAGTCGATTGTTCCAGTGGTTAATTACTCAAATTGCCTTCTTTCCAGTGTGTGTCTGCTCCCTCTTCTCTGATCAAGTCTATTAGCAATTTCCCGTGGTAGGTTCTCGTAGGCTGTAATCAAATTACCCCTGAACCTTCTCTTGGTTAACCAGACTGAACTGCTGGACTTGCTCAGGAGGGGGCCTGGTTTCTGATCCTTTCATCAGTCTCTTCTCTCAGCCCTCCCCAATTTATCAACATCCTGCTTCAATGGTGGGCACCAGCCCCGGACACAGGACCCAGCAGCGCTAGTGCCAGAGCCAGAAGGGAAATAACCTCCCTGCTCCTACGCAAGGTTCCCATTTATACACCCCAGCATCCCATCACCTCTTTTGGCCACAGCGTCTCCCTGGGAGCTCGAGTTCGGCTGATTATCCACCACAGCCCCCAAATCTGTCTGAGTCGCTGGTTCCCAGGGCAGCGGCCCCCATCCTCTGGTATGGCCGAGATACACTGAGCATATTAAACCCTACTCTGGGTGCTCGCGACCAGCGCACCGAGTGACCCACGGTGTAACGCTGCTGCAGGGAGTTGGGGGGAGAGCTCCCTGCCCCCATCCCAGGACGTGGCTGTAACTGACCACGCTGGGCACTGCCTTGTCTACCTCTCCCAGCCCACAGCTGCTAGCAGCCCCTGCCCTATGCCGACAGCCCTCGGGGCAATGGGCAGGGGGGGGGAGTGGAGCCTGGGCTAAGCTGTGGTCATGGGAGGAGCCCAGGTTGCCTAGCAGGGTGCGGGGGGTCGGGACCGAGGCGCAGGACCAGGGGTGGGGGGCCCCAGCGTGTCTGGCCGTGGCAGCCTCTCTCTGCTGGCCTACAGGGCCCCTGGCTGGAGAATACCAGTGCCCACCCCGAGTAAAGTGACACCCGTGATCTCACCCTCCTGGTGTCGGCCAGGCCAGCTCCTTCCCCTGACCCACCCCCTGGCCACGGCGGGAGGACTGGGCTGGTTCCCTACCTCGGGCAACCCAGGGCCTTTGCGTACTTCACGGCCAGGGCCAGGCCTTCCCGGAACGCAGCCTGGCGGCCGGGCACAGCCCCCAGCCCCTTCTCGCCCTTGTCCTCGTCCCCTAGGGAGAGAGCAGCCGAGACAGCCCCGAGTTAGGGGCAGGAGAAACCCCAACCCCTGCCCGCCCAGCCCGCCAGGGATGGGGTCACCTGTGCCCACATGGGAGGGGCTCGCTCCAGGGCCACACCTGGACAGGCAGTGCCCACATCCGCCCATAAGCTGGAGGTGCAGCCCGGACCCGTGACTTCATCCAGGGGACAGGGACAGGCCCGGGGAGCTGGCTCCTAGACAGAGCGCCGTTAGGCAGTAGCAGACCGGGGACCCGGGTGGGTACCTGGGCCGTGGGGGGTGGGTGGGGGTCGGGACCCAGACCCTGGG